ATATATATTATATATATATATATATATATATATATATATATATATATATATATATATATATATTATACAAGACTGAAATGGCGCTTCGCGCCATGCACCTTGGTCCTTGAAGATTGCTATGCAGGCGGAACGGCAGGAAGGTCAAGCGGACACTTTAACGATAACTCCTTGCTGCCTTGTCTGGCATCGCCGATATAATAATGTTGTTCGTTATCCTTCATCCATGTTTTTTTTTCCTCATTCTCGCCATACCCTGGACATTCTCCCCATCCTCATCAGCTCTTTTTGATGAGGCTCATCCTTGGAGAGCCTCTGGGAGCCTCACCAAAGTTCTCAAGCTTTCTTAAAGCCTTCTGGAGGCCTCCTGGGCGTGTTCTGGGGGCCTCTGGGGCTTCCTAAGGCCAACCTGCCTCTAATCGCGGTCTCCCTGAACGCCCCGGTCACGATTTGGAATGCTTCGGAGGGTGACTTGGGGCCATCTTGGGCCGCCATGGGGCTCTCTGAGGGCCATTTCGGACCCCTGGTGTGCCGGTTTGGGGCTCTCTTGGGCTGTCTGGAAGCCCTTTCGGATGGCTGTGGGGCGATTTTGGAGCCTCCCAGGCGACTTCGGACGCCCAGAAGACCGCTGTCTTGGAGCGTCGGGAAGCCGAAAAGAGGAGAACCCCAAATTCACCAAAAACCTGCATTAAATCAATGATTTGTCCCTCTGAGGGGCCTTCTTGGGGGTGCTCTTGGAGGCCTCTTGGTACGTTTTGGAGCGATATTTCCGGGTATGACGGCTTCTTGGAGCGCTCTTGTGCGGTCTTAGGATTCTCCGGGACGTCTCCGATGACCCCCCTGATCGCCCTAGGTGTGCTGCGAAGGCTTGGCAAAACGCCCTGCGAGGCCCGGGGGGCCGCTTCGAGGCCCGTCCGAAGGGTCCCAAAACCCCAGATCCCGGGAGTCCGGTTTTGGGGGGGGGGGGCGGGGACGGTTTTTCCCCCCGCCCGGGCTTGTAAAAATATAGGAACAGGAATATATATATATATATATATTATATATATATATATATAGCTATAAGACCCCCGGAGGCCCGTCGATCGTTGGTCTTTGAGCTCCCCAAAGGCTCTGGGGCTCCTGTAGGTCGGCAGTGCCATCACGGGATCACTAATATCCGTGGAGCACCTGCTGGCAAGCTGGCTTCGTATCTGACAGGCGCACTGTACACAACCGCATCCTCCGCGTCGCCTGAGGAAGGTAGCCAGGTCACCGAACTTCGAGGATCGCGCCCCGCGATGCGCGACTCGCGGCTATCTTCGAGCTCTCCTGACCTTGAAAAAGGGCAACTCCCTAGCCCATGCGGCGACGCGGGAAGATCGGTTCTCTTTGTGACCCCCACGGGTGACCCAAGATAAAAAGAAACAGGAAGGTGATCCTCACTCCTCCTGCTTCTCCTCCCCTTTGCTTCCCCTTTCTCCTCGCCTGCTGTTTGTCCTCCTCCCCTGCGTTCCCTCCCCCTTGCTTCCTTCTGCGGCTTCTGCTCCTCCTAACAGCATCCCTACTCCCATCAAGAAGCAGAAGGCGCGGAGGAGGGGTTAGGACAGGGGATGTGTAGACGGACAACGAGAGCACAGAGGAGAAGGGGCCAGCACAAAGGGGAAGAGTTGACGCCGCGCACAACGAGCTGGCGCGAGGGAGACCACTTTTGAAGAGGGCGAGGGAGCCTCTGAGAAGGCAGTTTTTTTTTACAAGGCCCCCCAGCTTCTAAGAATCCGATGTTTAGAAACCCTCGGGCCGTTCTGAGAAGACCCCCAGCCTCCTGAGAAGCCCCCCCCCTCTCCTTAGAAGCTTAGAAGCCCGCCCCCCGTGTGTGCCGCCCAAGAGGGGAACTCAGACTCAGTCAACATCGACGTCTGGAGCCTTGCGTGCGCCGCCAGAGACGAGGACCGAGGGCAGCGAGGGGGACACGACTTCGACCTAGACCCGGTCAAGAGGAGGAAGAGGAGGAGGAAGGGGAGGAGGAGGAGGAGGAGGAGGAGGAGGAGGAGGAAGAAGAGGAGGAGGAGGAAAAGGAGGAGGAGGAGGAGGAGGAGGAGGAGGAGGAGGAGGAGGAAGGCATCGATGCCCGGTGCGTGGGGCCCGGGAAAAGGACGAGGGAGAGGAGGAGGTGGGCATCGATGCCCAACGCCCAAAACCCAGGAGAAGGAGGGGGATGACGAGGACGAGGACGAGGAGGAGGAAGAGGAGGAGGAGGAAGAGGAACATGAGGATGAGGATGGGGCTGAGGATCTGTAAAGCGGCAGCCCTCTGGGCCCGCGCGCGGCGCGCGCAGCGTGGCTGCCCCTGCGCCCCCGCGGGTGATTCGGGGCGACGAAGAGGGGAAAGGGAGGCCGATGGGGTGGCCGGCAGCGGGGGGGCCTGCTGGCTTGGGCGGGACGAACAGTGCGCGCGTGTACCCGCATCTGATGACAGCCCCGCGAAATGTCGACCGGCAACTCTCCTCCTGGCCCAGCAGCGTGGCCACCGCGCCCGACCGCTAGCGTGCAGGCCGAGCTGGGCAGGAGCTTCGGTCGAAAGACCAGGCTTCTGGCGCCCTTTGGGAGCTGGTTTGGTTAGTAGAACTGCCGCACGTGCGACCCTCCCCCGTGGTGGAAGCTTCGGAGCTGAAGTCGGGTCGAGCCGCGTGGGCGGGGAGGGTAAGGGCTGGCTCGGGTGGGAAACGCATGCGGCAGGAAACGATGCATCAACGACGCGCCGCCGTCGATAACCCATCAGCGTGGCACTTCTGGAACACAGCGCCAGGCTTCCGAGCACAAACCGAGGAGTACCATGACGAAAAGCACCAAAACTGTGGCGTGTCATTGTCAGTCGTGTTCCTTCCCGAAAGCAGTCGCCGTGAATCGCTGCTGGATCGGCGATGGGCCCCCGATGGGAAGACTCCGCGTTCCGTCCCGGGTAGGTCGGGGCACCCGCGCCATGCGGTGAGGAGTGGGCGGTTGCCCTGCACATCGGATCGAAAAATCGACAGCGCCATGCAAACATCGAGCCGCAATGGATCTCCAGGCTATGCAAATGGGGGGGGGCCTGTGCTGAGAGAAATCACTTTCTCTTTCCTTGTGCGGGGCTCGCGCGCGCCCGCTGCCGGCGCGCCGCTCAGCTCAAGGGCCCTGCGACCCGAGATGGCCGCGGGGCAAAGGGGGGTGGGGGCGAGGCGCAGGAGGGGCAGAGGCTGAAATGGGCATAGCAACCGCAACTTTTTGTTGTTTCGGCCAAAACCTCAGTCAAGGCCTAAGCTCATCACTGGCCTCTTATATTGGTCGTACCCACTCCGATCGCAGCCATTCAAGATGCCAGTGGCGTCGATTCGCCCCCAGGTCACCCGCGACACGTGGACACATATGCCTAGAGGAACACCTCTAGGAAAGACCCTCCCAAGGACTATCGCTCCTCTGACCATGGTCGGACACGGGCTCGCCCGCGCTCCCCCGCCCCCCTCGTGGAGCTCCTCGGCTCAGAGTTGGTCGGCCAGTCGGGGGCGCCCGTCCGCTGCGGGAAGCGGGCGGCAGCGCTGAGCTCGATCGCCCACTGCGGAATCCAACGCTCGTCCTTGGGCGCGAGTGCGTGGCGACAAGATCCAGGCTCAGACATCTTCAGATCAGCGCCCTCGATCTGGTCGTCCGAGTACGCGTGTGCGCTCGGAAATGCAGCTGGAAATGCCTTCGCACTGAAGTGCATCCTGACCGTGCGAATCCACGGCTTGTACCGCCCGAGGACAGGCACCTTCTTCTGGACCTTGTCATCGATCTCTCTCGTCCGTCGTTGTATGGATCCATAGCTTGGTGAAGTGCGCCATTGCTGATGGACGCGCTGCCTATGGAAGTTCACGCGACGCTTGCGATTGACCATCATCTCGAAGATGCACGAGTGCACATTCATCTTGGGGCCGACGTTTGATGACGTGTGAACCGCGCGGCGAGCGCAGCTGAAACGGCGGTGCCCCCCTCGCAGTAGACTCCAAGCACATCCTCGGCACTGGAAGGCCCTGGCTTCACCATGCACATGCCGCGCTCATTCCAAATGGAAGCGAGAGCTGCCAGATTGGTGCTGTGGTACGCCGTTCTAGACTATGGCTCCTTGCCATCGGTGAGAACCATGTCCTGCGTCACCTCCCTGGCGCCCGTCATCATCGAATCGATGAACCACCGCTGTCCTGTCGGGCACTTGATCGGACCGAGCTCGAAAGGCCCCTCAACCTCGTCATATCAATGTCCCCAGGTAAAGCTGGAGCCGCCCTCGCGTTTCGCATCCCAGATCGAGCTGCCAGTGCCGCGGCGTCCGACGCAGTCGTAATGGCGAAAGGCATAGGCCACGGCATCTTTTGCCACGTCGACCATGACGCAAGTCTTCCAAGCAGGACTCATCATCTTTTCGAGGGCGTACTTGTTCCTCTCGACGCGCTTGTAGCTGTTCTCCCAGTGCGCACTGGTGTACCGATCGGCAGGTCCGAGAGCGATCTGGCCCTTCTCAACCAGCGAATCTTTCAGCGTCGGATAGGAGAGGCACTGCTCGAGGTCCACAATATCAATCATGGCCTCCGTGATCGCCTCACCTTCAGGGGGAGCAATGTTCGCAGATCTCCCCAGCGCGCGCGCTGCTGTTGACGCCTCCCGGAAATTCGCGGAGGGGCGGTGCGCCTCCTCGCGCCACGCCTGGAAATTCGCTTCGCCACAGCGCTCCGGGAGGCCCTGGGTGACCAGCTCGCCGTCTTTCACCAGTTCCCCCCAGCTGGCATTGATCAGGATCTTCTCCTCTTTGCGCGCGCGCCAGAGGTTCTTGCTGATATTTTGAAGGTCGTCGTCGTTCATCGCGCTGGCGAATTCCGGCGCGGTGGATTCCTGAGATCTCGCCGGGCGAACCGGTCCGCTTGGTGCGACCTGATGGGGCCCTTGACATCGAACGGCGGGTCCATCGCGGATTATTCGTCTTCGCGCGCGGTGCGTCCGTCGCAGTGGGCCACAAGCGATGCTCGTCGTTCTCCGCCTCGCATTGCGCGAGGATGTCGCTCGCGACGCTGCGGTCGAAGGTGTCGCGCAAACTAGCGATCTGAATGGCCTCGGAGATAGGCTTCGCCATCAGTAGACTCGTCCACGCGCTGAACGTGTTGCGCTTCTCATATTGCTGGCGAGCCGCCAACATCTCTGCCGAATGCTTGTCCACGGTGGTGGCGTCCTCGTGCCCCCATCCGATTCGGCGTCTCCTGAAGTCGGCTCTTCAGGATCAAATCGTAGATCAGACCGTAAGTGGGCCAACATCCGTCCTGTTCTGCTCCCGCAGGGGCCAGCTCCTGCTCTTGTTGCTGTCGTCGGATGCGCGTGCTCTCATCCTGGGCTGCAGCGTCTCGAACGCCGCCGCTTCCTGCTGCATGACCTGAACGCGGGGCTTCTCCACGTCGCGGATGCGCATCAGCGGCGGGCGGCGCCGCTGAAGACCCTCCAGATGAAAGACTCCCTCGATGTCCACCCGGGCGTGGTAGTCGTCTCCTGCCGGATGACTTCGAATGCCTGCGCAGCCTCGGTAGCCCATCTCGCTGCGGAGCCGTTTCTGTGGGCCGCGAACCATCGGATGCCCCGCGTGGGAGATATCGTAGCGCTTGCGATTCGGCTAGGGCGCCTCCTGCCGGGGGGGGGCTGGCGTTTCCACCGGAACGTCTCGGTGCGCCCCCGCTCCAGACTCCTCCTTGAGCTCTCTGCGGGCTCCAAACCTGGCGGCGTTGTCGAAGTCATTATCGCGCTTCCTTGCGACGCCCGCGTCGCTCCGATCAGTCGCCCCGCCTGGAGCGGCGATCTGGCGCGATGATCCAACCTTCGCGCTCCGACGGTGGGGGCGCGAGCGAGGATGCGGCACCCTGCCCCTTGGCCTTCGATCGAGCCATGGGCCTCGCCTCGAGCATCGCCTCGAACGGCGTCGCGGGCTGCTGCAACTGTTCGCCGGCTGGGTAGTCACTGGGCGCTCCGCCCGGCAATCCACCGCCGGGGTCTTCCTCGCGCTCCTCGTCGCCGCCGCTGGAGTCGACCTCCATGACTTCAGCAGCCGCCGGATTTGTCTGTGTTCTTGCTGTTCATGCGGCGCCCCTTGTTCTTTACTCGGTTCGCCTCGACTTCGCGCTTGGTCAACGGTCGCGCGCGCTTGCTGAAAGGCGCCAGTCCAAGGCTCTGCTTCGCCGGTTCTCGGAGCCCGTGCCCCCCCCCCGCCCCCGCGACTTCCTCAGGGCGCGCAGACATTCGTTATCCTTGATGGCGCACTCGACCCGATGGGTCCGCACTCGCAGCATTTTCTACAAGTAACGGTCCCAGACAGCCCACCTGTGGAACTGGAATGGAGACTGCACGGCTTGATTTATTATGAATCCCTGGATCCGCTGCATCTCCGCTCTCACCGCGTAGCGATAGAGAATGTTTGGGAGTCCATGAATGCGTCCTTCCTTTGAGGCTGCAGCCACATCTGGTTCCACGATCTCCGTGGCATCGGTCTCCAGCACTTCCAACTGCCTCCTCGCTCGAGCGAGGCCCAGCTCTGCTTCGCGACGCTGCTTCTAGCGGCCGCCCCAATCTGCATCATCTCCAGGTGGCGGTCGAGCATGATCTGCTTGGCATCAGCACGGGGGTCGTTCCCTCTCGGCGTAGATCAGCGATCAGACTCGTGCGTGAAAGTTGTCCTCACTAATGTTGCTCCATGAACTTAGTGACAACCCTCAGACGGCGAATCTCGGCCTCTACATTGTGACTGGTGTCCATCAAGAGCGCCATGCGGCTCCGAAGGTGATGGAATCTGGAAGGGGGCTCCGGAGGCATCCGCTCAGCGGGGATGGACTCGGGCAACATATGGTTGTTCACGCGTTTTGCACTCCTCGATCTCCTGAGCCCGATTGTCGTTCACGGCCCGACGCGTCTGGGCCCCCAGACCCACGATGATCGCAGCGCGCTCATTTCCGGCCAGGGGAAGACCAGAGCCATCGTCTTGCACCGGCTCGATGCCCGCGTCTTCTCTCTCGCAGCCCCCGCGAGCGAACGCGCCGCGACCCTTCGAACTTTCGAAAAGAGACTGGGCAGATGGATTGCGCGTGGCCGTCGAATCGCGCGGCAGGCCGCGCAGCTCCTCGCCCGCGTCAGGAGTGCCCTGCGCGCCATGACCCTCGGAAGCCATGAAGGCGTCATCTGGGCGCGTCTGTTCCAGTCATCCAAAAGAAATCATGATGGTCCTCGTGCTCTGAGGGCGCCTCCTTCTCATCTCGGAGCCGTCGAAGGAAAATCTGGCGGGGGCGATCAGAGTCAGGCCCAGCCGGCGCCGAGCCCTCGGCAGAACCCTCGGCGGAGGCTGAGCCCTCAGCCTTCCAGAGATTCGATGACCAACAAGGGGATCATCGGCCGCTCTGGTCGAAAGTCCACCCGAACTGGCTCCCTTTTCGTCCACCGCGTCGTAGAATTCCATGTCTTCTGTCGCGCCGTCACCGTCGGGGTCCACCTGTTCGTCTCTCGAAACGGGGGACTGGGGCCGACCGAGATGCGATCCTGGTTCATTGGGCCGCATGGCGCCGCAGGCTGGGGAGGTCCCGGCCACGAAACCAAAGTCGCAAGCTGGAGGCGGTGGCGCAACGCGACATGGCGACATGGACCCGGCAACTGCTTTACGAGAAGGGCAATAGAGGAAATCGCACGTAGACAGCGGATGTGGTAATGGGCTGAAAGAAAGTGGAACGTTTCGGAAGTGTGGGAGGAGACGCGCGAGACGATGAGGTAGTAGTTTGACTGGTAAGCTCCGGAATATCTGGTCTTGGAACGCGTTTCCCGGTAGCCAACCGACCACCTCCGTTCCATTTCTTTTGACCCGTAATGCGTTCCTTAGCCGCCTGCATGAATTGCGCGTTGCCCTTTAACTTACAATGAACCGCTCGTGGGACTAAATTCGCGTGGGGACCAGCGACGCTGCCCGCCGATATTCTCCAATGAGTCCCGAATAACCGCGATATCCGAATCTGCTCTCTTCTCGGTAGAAGCAAACTATTCCTGGCTGAAGCAATCGTACAATGACATGGCGTCGGGCATGGTGATGACGTCCAAATCGGGGCTCTGCTCCGCGATCGTCGTCGCTCGGATGTCTCGGCTCATGGCATGCCAGTCCCGAAATTCGCGCAATCATCCGCGGGGTAATCCATTCTGCCTCGGCCAATCCCCCCGACGCGGCATTGGCTTCCACCGCGAAAGTAGAACTTCTAGCGCGATCAGTCGGTCTTGTGGGGATGCCACGCGAGAATACTGACGTCCGCCTCCTTGCCAAAAATTGGCCCTGACCCGCAGCGCAGATCACGTCGCCTGTCCGCGGGCGCCCATGTCCCGCGCCTCTGATGTCCAGTCCAGAGTCGCAGAGAGCGACCAGACGAAGCCGAGAAGAGGGCATGGACTTGATGGCGACCGTTGCGTTGGCATCCCTAGGCGCCGCAGAACGGCATCGGCCGTGATCGGACCCTTCGCTTCGGAGTTGGGCAAGGTGCTGCTCAGGGGAGATGCGTCTCCAGAGCCATTGGGCATTCCTTCCCTGCGCGTCCAGTTCAGTCTTCACATAATCCGCGCATGGCAGCGACTTCTTCCGGCGTAGCTGGGTCGGGGCCCTTCCGGCGTCCGCGTGGTAAGTGACTAGGGCGCGAGCGTTCTGCAATCTACCGAACCATCGAAATCTCAAAATCGAAATGCTTATCTTGTCGCAGCGTGCGTCCGCTACGCTCGGTAGCATCATCCATAAACTCAATTTTCGTAACGTGAGGCGATTGCGGAAGCGCGACATGGCATCAGAAAGCGCGCCCCCCAATACCGCCGCCAACAATTCATCTGCTCCGATGACAACGTGTCCCAGAAATGGCTCTTTGCACAAATCAATTGTGTAGTGCATCGGCATGACATATGGTGCAGGAGGGTGTTGCATGAAAGCGTTTTCTATGAAATCTGTCAAAAACTTCTCCACCAGCCTGGGAGGCTGGCAGCCAGACCGTGAACTTCTGTCGGCAAGTCATCAATCGCGATCATATCGTTCGGGTCTTCTTCAAGAATACCGCCCTCTGGGGGCGATGCGCGAATTCTCCCCGCTGGTTCCGCAGACCGCGTGCAAATGCGGATTCGACATCGCCGACGCAGGCCTTCGCCGTGATCGAAGACAAACATATCAAACTTTTCAGAGCAAGGTGAACGCCCGAGGTCGATGGCGCGGGCGCAATACGGTTGAGTTCAGCGATGTCATGATCGTGAAATCATTAGATGGCCCGCCAGGACTTCACATCGGAACTCTTGGGCACCGACGGGTCGCTCCGCCCGTTGTCGCAGTCACTCCCCTTGTCTTTCAACCTGTCATGTCGGCGAGATGAGATTACGCGTCGTGGATATTCGCGGTGGATTTCTGCAGCGGCAGCTCCTCGATGTATGCGGGCGGCTTTACTGCCGCCCGGGCCAGAAGCACATATCCCTGACCATTATTTCCATCGGCTGCCTGTGGGCCCAGTGAAGTTTTAAGGTTCAGGTAGCGGGTTGACATTGATCTCGTCCTCGGCGCGCTTCTTCTTGCTGAAGAATGATCTCGCGGTGCCCATGATAGCCACCTCGGACTGACGAGCAGAATGCGTGTCACGAAAGTTGGGTGTCTTGGGCGTTCCCAGCAAATCATCTGTCACCTGGCCACTATGGCTGCTGTCGGCGTAACAAATGACAAGCTCATACGCCGAAGGGCAGCTGCAGCCTCCGCAGCAAGGCCCGCTGCAGGTGCAGCGGTGGTCGGTGCTGGTGGTCGTAGGTCGGATGCCGCGTTAGCAGGCCAGGGCGTGCCCGAACTTCGGGCCGTCGCGCTGGGAGCTCCCACTGGCGCAACCAGCTGGCAGTCCTGGCGAGAACCTGGCTCGCTCTGCGGCTCCGCAGATGCAGAGTCTGAGGTGCTGCGTGGGCAAGTCCTGGTTCGTCGTGACTAACAGCCATCGGCTGAATTTCAAGCTTGTCTGGAAGGGCTTGATGTGAGTCTCCTGATCGGCGTCTACATCTGAGTCGTCCAAAACACCGTCAGCGTCAGCTGCTTCAGCATCGCCTAGTGGTTCATCACCAGGAAACCTGGGGCTGCCTTTTCTGGCAACGTCGACGCAACGACGAGCGCCGCGTTTCGCTCGAGGTCGATCTTGACATCGTGAAAGTAGCGCTTAGCGGTCTCGGTACCTCGGCCCTCATCCTGAGTGGCGCTCCGCATCTGCCCCTTCGACACACGCCACAGTGCTCCGCACATTTTGGTCCAAGCGCCAGAGCTGAAACATATTCGCACAAGGCCGCAGCCATCTTCCAGATCCCAATGGCCCCTGTCTCCAGACGAACACAAGCTGACCTTCGGAAATAATTGGGGGCATTCGGCGACGTGCTCGGGGAACTCGAAAAGGACGT